AAAAAAAAAAAAAAAAAAACTCACAAAACAATGCTGATTTACGCAGTCACATGCTTTCACACACAATCATACCTACACATATACAGGTGATCACAAACACATGCAGTCACACACGCATGCACACACACACACACACACACACACACACACACACACACACACACACGCAGTCACTGATACTGTCTTTTGTGATTCTGGTTATTTCTGCCATACTACCATCTTATGGTTGTGATATTCAAACAACACAAAAAAGACCAAAATCACTGAAAAAAAAATTGTCAAACAAGCATAAGAAATATGTTTAATCTCAATAGATTTAATATTCTTTTTCGGACCTACTCTAAAGGCACTGCTAAATTCCTTATTAAGTGACTTAAGGAAATATTAACCTTCACAAGTTGGATTTTCGGAGCTCCAGGTACCATCAGCTGTGCATCGTACAACATTATTCCCAGTCAGTCTGTACCCTGCCAGACACTCAAACTGGATTTCTCCGCCCACTTCAAGGCCATTCACACTTCTCCGGCCGTGCTGTGGCGTGCCTGGATCTGTACAGCGTATGGCTGAAATATTGAACAGTACATAAAAAATAATAATCATACATGCATACATACATACATACATACATACATATGTGCTTATGATAGAGTTCTAGGGCCCATACACGTGAGATTTGTTGTGCATGCAAAAATGGGGCACCGTTCCATGCACCTGTATAAACAAGCAAACTAAAACTGTTAATACACAGACAGCCTTTCGCAGGTGAAAAAAAAATTCAGATTGAGTTACTATGCCTGTAACTACGAGCTGCATATAAAACGTAAGGGGTTTGAAGTTAATAGGAGATGCCCTATCTTAAGCTTTTTTTTTCAGTATTGGAAATATTTCATTCATATTCACCAAGAACTAATTAAATTTTAATTTTTGTTTTTAAAAATTTAGTTTTAAAAAACTAAGTAAATAGATTAATATATTCTGATACACATGTTCTCATACAAAATGACCTACGTGTACTTAAGCCTCCTTTACCACCCAGCGTGTACCTACCAACACAAGATCGTCCATCCATGAGGAGACGGTAGCCAGTATGGCAGCTACACACCACGGTTTGTGACATCATATTACAGACCTGGGTGCAGCCTCCATTGTTGAACCCACAGTGTCCTGGTCACAGGAAACAAATGTGAATAATGACAAATACTTAATATCATCTCTACTTGATATCTTTCTTCATTATATCTTATTAGTAACATGTATTGAAATTTCATTTTATGATCTACAGTAAAATAATAATAATAATAATAATTATTTTTTATTATTTGTGCATGTAAGGTGAACTTGGATAAGTTATTTAATAAAAATATGATCATATAGAAGTATATATATATATATATAGCAATCATGACTAGCATTGAGGCAATGATAACATTTCTCTCTCTCTCTCTCTCTCTCTCTCTCTCTCTCTCTCTCTCTCTCTCTCTGATACTTACTTGGTGGCGTAGTTGGGATAACGTTATTGTTCAAGCCTCTGGTGGTGACCACAGCAGGTGGCTGGGTGGGGACAGTGGGAACTGAAACATGACGTTGTTCATTTGTACATCAAAAGCCATTGTTTACAGCATTCAGGAGCACAGATATGTTACAACCACTAGCAGATAACTGTATAGGGGCCAAAGTGTTAAAATATGAAACTAGTTTTGTACATGTATAAGTCCACATTACTTAAATTCTATGGATGACATCCTCTGGGACTGCAAAACTAATAGGAGAGGGTGAAAAAAAAACTCCAGCAAAAAATAACAATAAATAAATAAATAAATAAATAAATAAATTGCTGGTTATTTTAAATAATTACTTAAAGGGATAATAACTCTTCGATTGAAATCTATATTTCACAATATAAACAGTGTAAGCAACTCATAGAAATATAATGTATTTTGTTTTACCACAAAGACGGCAATCATAGCTATTATTCTGATATTTGAGCTTGTCTTTAGACCACGTGACCTCCACTGATGGCTATACTCTGTTAAAATCTCTTAAGAGATTTAAACAAAAAACCAAACTTTTTAGAAAAAAACCAGGGACTAACTTTGAATGTAGAAATGGATTCATTAACCATTGGTAAGTATGGAAAAATTGTTGTTTACTCCAGGAAAATTCATTTTTTGGCCAAAATGAACAGTTGTTATCCCTTTAAAAGTAAAGGAATACAAAGCTGGAAACCCAAATTGAACCACAGAACAGTAATATATCAAACAAACAACACATCCTTCTTTGCCATTGAACTTGTGAGACCCCTGAACCACTTTTGGGCCACCATATACCTTAACTTTCCTCCCATTTCTCTCATCGTTGAAACAGAAAGGTGTGAGCCTCTCTAGATAGGACGTCTTTGAATTTAACTAATAAAAGTCGCTCACTGCCACCAGTCTCTCGTACAGTTCAGCAAATTTGCCAACACCAAATGCAAACCAATCTACAATCACGCCCCCGTCTTCTTGTGAACTTTTATGGTTATATATTTTGATGACAACAACTCAACTGCCACCTTTGTTGGCAGTATGCATGTCCACAAGGTTCATTTTGAGGTTAAGATTCATTCTAAGCAATCAGTTCCAAAGTTCTGAGGTAGTGATTTTATTTTCAATAACAGGCCATAATTAATGAGCATGTGGATGTCATCCATAAAATTGAATCAGTGTGGCCTAATGTGAATTTAATGTCATTTGTGACTAATATATCATGTTTTAAATGTTTTGACTAAATCAAAACTAAATTATAAAACAACATAAAAAGTTGTAAGCACTGAACTGTAGTTATCCATTGCTAACTTACTGCTACATGTACAATACCCAAAAGCAGAGGTGTCTGTACATGAATATCTACTGTATCAGTGACATCATACACTGTATATATAGTGGTACTGATATTTACCTGTGGGTGCTGGTGTCACAGGTGTCTGTACATAAATATCTTCTACTATATCAGTGACATCATCCACTGTATATATAGTGGTACTGATATTTACCTGTCGGAGCTGGTGTCACAGGTGTCTGTACACTGGGAATAAAAGTAACAGGACCTCCTGGCTGCTGAACTCCTGGGATAAAAGTGACTGGGGCTTGTGTAGTTGGTGTTCCTAGTTAAAAAGAAGTTACAATTTACTGTCCTGACAAATGAAATGTCTTCTGTGGCTTTAATGGGCAGCATGTTTTTTGAAAGAGATTTTTTCTAATTTTTTTTGTAGATTTTCTTGGCAAGAAAAGTATTTTCAGTATCTTCACTCCCTGCTCTTTACATCTCCAGTTTATAGACGAGACAGAAAAAGAAAGTGATTTTGATTTGATTTTTTTCATCCTTACAATGTAAATTATATAAAATATACAAAGGAAACATAGTTATAAATACATGGATGACACAGGGAAGTGAAAACATACATCTCCATTGTGATCCATTTAGGAATGATCGCAAGTAACAAAAATAAAAGGGGATGGGTAGCAACGAAAGTTTTGTTGCCTTTCTTAAGGAATCTTTACTTATTTTATTATTACATTTTGTTTTCTTCACATGCTTTTTCTTTCTTTGTATACAAGGTCATCAGTAAACACTTCTCCTTGGTGTATAGTTTGATGTAAAGTTTTCTAGGCACTTGCTCTACCACTAACATAGTGATACTCTCCCATCATATAAATATTGTACACCCAATTGCAATCCAGTGCCAGATGTCCATAAACCCAAAGAAATATCTCCCTGACTACCTAGACTGATTTCATGCAAAATTTACAAGGCTGAACTGCTGTTTTGTATTTATTATGATTTTGAAGGATATGAATGAAATCATATACATGTACTTATAGCATCAAAGGATAAGGAAGCAAATACCAACTACTAAAGCACTCAGAAAGTACACACCTCACCCAACCAACTCAACTCTCATTCATTATTTATTAATTAACTTATTAATTAATTATTAGTTATTATTTATCATTTAACTACCCCAGTACTTAAGTATCTAAATTGTCATCATAAGCAATAATTGCTTAATTAATCAATCAATTGACTTATTAATTGGTTGGCCAATTAATAAACAAATTAATAACTCTAGTATGAAATTACCACCAAAAAATAGCCCATTTCCGACCTATCCTGAATATTTCATCAAAAAAGCTCCATTACCTTTTGCATAAAGTTGCTAACTGACTAGTATACCCTATTTACTCATAATTAACCAATTAACTAACTATTAACTAATTAATAATTGAATCATAATCAAAATTTAACCACTTAACTAAGTAAGCAGCTTTAGCCCATGTATGACCTATGCCTAAAATTTCATTAAAATCCACCCACAATTGTTTGAGTTAGTCTGGTGACCAACAGAAAAACGGAGGTGATAATATGACTTTCTTGGCGGAGGTCGTATATCTAAAATGCAGCCCTTTCTATTTGACAGATTGGCCTTGGAAAGTTTCCCCACATACCAAAGAATCATTTGCATAGACCTATGCAATATGGTGATCGCCAACCGCGGCTGATGGTGAAATAAGACATCTTGATTCCTCCTAAATATATCTTGGTATTACTTCTCACGTTCATCATACTTGAAAATTGGTAAAACAGCAACAGGAGATTCCCGCTCGGCTTCACTATGCATGTAGATGAGAGAAGACCCGCAGTGAATGTGACCCCAAGATATCCGTCACAACTAACACATCGGACCGGACATGGCGGCACATTCACCTCAGCTCCTATTATAGATCTGTCTTTTAATCTTTTGTTTTAATACTAATTGACAACATTCTGACATGCTATTATTGCTCATTATATAAAAAGTGGGGTTAACAAGTATTTTTCTCCGCTTACGTTCAATTAAAGAAAATAAAAGGAACTTCTGATGAATTGGGAAAAGAAAAGGACTAGTCTACCCATAGTTTACACCTTGTACAGATAACATAATAAATATGATAATATAACAAAAGAAACAGGTACCTGTGCCCCCCTCCCCTCAATCCACCCGATTAAGGAACATAAATAGTACGACTTGGTTAGTTTCTAGTTTCACTTACTGTTGGTCTACTTGTAATTATTTAAATTCGACTGTTTTCAAAACGTTAAAAACGCGTTCTTCAATCACGGAGACTTTCTTTTGCGTTTAAACCATAACAAATATATGGACTGAGTGAAAGTAAAAAGCTATCAGTGAAGAAAATTTTATTACTCCCTTTGCCTTCAAAAAAAAAAAAAAAAAAAAAAAAAAAAAAAAAAAAAAATTATAAAAAGCGCCACCCTCCTCCATCACAACCCTATGGTCCTGAAACTTTCGCTAAAAAGTCAACTTTTGATGAATTTCACGATGTTAACGTTTAGATTTAGATTCACATTCGATAAAAAATCCTGATACAAAAAAATGACGTGCGAGGAAAAGTCAACGGTTAATGTTTTTTTTTCATATGTCAAAATAACCATGCCACCGCATGAACCAACTTAACCAACTTGGAATTATTGAACTATATGGACCTGGATAAGATGAGTTCATTTTTAAATAATATTTTCCTTGGGTTTAATCATAATAAATGTTAGCGAATAACCGAGTTGCCTTCTTTTTTCCATCTCTTTTGAATAAATCTAGCTTGTGGATAAAATTGTAAGCGTTAAAACGCGTTCTTCTCTTACCTGGTGTTGTGGTCAGTGCCGCCAGTAGAGAGGATAGGAATGGATCCTGTGTAGAGGGAGTTGCCGCCGTCGGTCTGACCGGGGTAGGTGGCGGGGAGACCGACGCTGGCGTCCCACCACCCGACCCTATGCTGGGTCCCGGTAGGTTGCTAGTTAACCCATTGCCTAACATCTGTAACAGCGTCATCATGTCGTTATTTCCTGCAGGTGGCTGGGTTTGGGTGTTTGACCCTGGCACTGTCTGTCCCATGGCTGTTGGCGGGTTGGCTATAGCGGGGGTTGCCATGGAGCCACTGGTGGCTCTCATTCCTGAGGTGTTGGCACCCACTTCCGTGCCCTGACTGACTCCGGCACCATTTGGTATCATACCGGAATTTCTTGTGCTCGAACCACTTCCGGTCACGCCTGTCCCACTGGATGGCGCCATACCGGATTGCACCGTACCGGATGGCACTGCCCCAGAACCGGACCTAGACGTGCCTTGGATTATAAGGATAGTCGGGGGCGTTGTTCTCGGGGGTTCATCAGGGGTACCACTAATGGGTCCGGTTGGTTCCACGGGGGTAGCATCAATGGGTCCAGTTGGTTCCACGGGGGTGCCATCAATTGGGCCGGATGGTTCCACTGGGGTACCGTCGCCAGCGCCAACAGTTTGCGTGACGCCCCCAGACGGTTCTTGAGGTGTCGTCGGAAGGGGAGGGGTTAGATCCACAACCACGGGTACGGTCTGGGTGGGCATTTGGGTGGTTGTGGGGCTTGTCGGTTGGAGTGATGGCGTGGGTTGGGTTGTTGCCGGTGGCGGTTGTGTTGTTGACGGTGGCGGTTGTGTTGTTGACGGTGGTGGTTGTGTTGTTGACGGTGGTGGTTGTGTTGTTGACGGTGTCGGTTGGGAAGCTGTTACAGTAGAGGGTGTGTTAGGTGCCAGTGTGGTAGGTGTTGTCGTGGTGGCTGTGTCAAGCCCGTTACACAGTTCTGTGTCACACAGACACCACACGGCCTGGGCCCAGTACTGGGGGTGAGTACGGCAGCCATTCTGACTGGTGTCCATACCAGGATAGTAGTTCTCGTCAGTACAGCCACGGTAAACATCTGAAATTAGGGGCATAAACCATCATCTTAATTTATTTATACATTTCAAATGGTGACCAAAATCAAGGTCTACATACCGCGACCAAAACGAAAACCAAAGGGAAAACACCCGTGGTTGCTATTTCAAAACTGACGCAACAGAACAAATCGAGACTATTTACTTTATTAAAAATGTTCTGATTGATTAATCCATTTTTTCAACGAGATTACTGTATAATTTAATACTTGAACTCAATCAATACCCTTTGTATTGTCTGTCTGTATACATGTGAAATATACGACAAGCATGAAAATGTGATACCGGAGTGGGTACCCAACTAACGCAGAACACATTCTTAACGTTACCACATAGTTATATATTGGTGAGACCATCAGGAAACGTGAAGAAACGTTATTCTCACGTGCGGATTTCAGAACCCGAAATAATGTGATGAAAACTTAAGCAAACTATTATATTGGATAAACTACCATGTTTTAGTGTTTATTTCTTCCGGGAAGGATTAAATAGACTTTAATACGAACATTATCAAAATTATTAAAAAAATACGTTTTTAAGTAATCTTGATAGTTGTTTGGGGTTTTATGATGAACTAGTCAATTGTTTGAACTTCATTTCAGAAATAATCCAGTAAACTTGCTGGCAAGGTCAGCTAACACAGAGTGAATGAACTAGGTTCCATAAATAGTACTTCACGGTCATCTGATAATGGTTAATTAACAAAATAAGATAGATAAAATGAAATAAAATAAATATCTTACCAAATAGACAAATACACTGGTGATCTACATGAGACAGAGCCATATGACCATATTTTAACATATTTTTAATGTTCTCTTAATTTTCTTTGTGTAAAGTTTCCCAAAAACGTTCCGAAATGGTTGACAAAACTTTCCTGACGTTATTCCTAACGTTCCCTCAGTGTTTTTGTAACATTCTTTTGTGAGCTGGGTAAACTGTTCGACCTATATTATGAAATACCAAACAAAGAAAAAAAACTTGTTTGATAAAGTACAGTAACTGTAGAATGGTTTCAAACGCACGTTGATGTGCGCTATACGTACAAACCCTGTGTGTCATGGAAGTAGACGCTCATAATAATAAAATAAACAGGATTAAACGCATCTAATGCCAGGGATACTAATAAACCACACAAAGTTCTGAGTCATCTAAGCCACTTCGTAAGACTTACAGCCATTTTGGTCGTCTCGTATGAAGCATTTCCCCGTGGTCTCACACTGGCTAACCTGCTCAGGGTTGTTCTGAAGTGCCGTGATGCAGAAGTCACCATGGCAATCGTAACAGCGGACTGAAAGAAAATATACACATGCGCAATTAGTTGTTTTAATTGAAATATTCCTTCAATATGTAAATTTATGGAGTGTCACTGGCTTCACAAGGGCGGGCAGCCGACCTCAGGGGCGGTTTTTTGATATGTTAAACCATTTCCTGCCGGTCTCCCACGATAGGGAGTCCGTTTCCCATTCATTTGTAAAGGTCAGTCTCGTCCAAGATTTTGACCCACTTAGGTCAGGTCAACCCTAACCATTATAAGCAAATGGAGGGCGGAATTTTTTTAATATGGACCCTCAGTTTCGATACACCGGTCTCGGCCACACCGAACCCTATATTGTACCGCCCTGAGCTGCGTGTAATTTCCCGGATAACTTCTCCGGGCACCGACGGGCCCAGTGTTTAGGTTAGGGGAGCGATCCACAGCGATATATTCTTTTACCGAGCGAAAAAAGGCAAATATTTTATGAAAATGTTACGCACGACTTTCAAAATCTGCCGCTGTTCTTATTATAGAACTAGCTTGTTCCATTAGAACACTACAGACGTGGACAATTTCTACTAATGCCAAAAAAAAAAAAAAAAAAAAAAAAAAAGACTAAAACATACGGTCATAGAGGTCTCGAGATTGCAGCAACCGGTTTAAGGTCCAATTTTACCAATAAGTCAAATGTCCCTATCAGTGGCAGTTATGTTTGTTTTTCAGAGAATTTTAAAAATTATTTTGTCCATAAAATTTATGCCATTTTAACTTTTCCTTCTGTAATTAGTTTTAAATTAATCTGAAGTTTTAAATTTTATATACTGTATAATGACATTTGTAAACAGTGCTGTGTCGAATGAGTAGCGCTGAGTTGTTTGTGTTTTAAGGAAATTATTATTATTATTATTATTATTATTTTCAATATGCAAAAAAGTAAACAAGGACAATTTGTAGTTAAAAAAGTGATATGCAGGGTTTAAGGATGGCTGTAGGGGAGGTAGGTGACCGTCCCCCCCTCCCCACCACCCCCACCCCTCCCTGTATCGGCTGTTGTCATGGAAACTCGATGTGCTGTCAGAGGCTGATCCTGGGCAGAGAAAGCACCGCTTCTGCTCGCGTTCTTCTCAGTACCCTTCACCATTTCCCTTAGCAAAACAACTTCAGTGCACTTATCACAAAATAGTTTTTTCAAATATTACTGAGCTCTCTGTGGGTTAGATGGGCTTTGCAATTTTAGTCTAATTAAGGGCGTCTTTTTTTGACTATCTGTTATCGATCCACATCAATGTCGACGTAGTTCACGTGGTCTTTATAATACTTTTACTTTAAAATGAATAAAATTTAGTGTCAATATTCAAGTATACGAGGATAAATATACATAAATTAATAAATTAATACGAGGTAATCTTGGAGATAACCTTACCAAATGTCGTTTTTAAAGTTATTTATTTCAAAAAACAATATGAAAAGCTAAAATTGATGGAATCCGTAATAGTCGATTAGAGTGACACCCTGCCGGTCCCACCACCTCATCTTACAGCGTGTTTGGAGTCGTGTAGCTTCATGGAGCAGATATGTATTACGTCACGTACCAGACAGATACCCCTGCATATCACATAGGAGCACCCATAGTATAATGTATATACCATATCGCGATTCAAATGCCTAAATCCCTTGTTAGCAACTTTTCATTCTCTTTTTCTGTACTGAGCTAAGACGCTTCTGCAATCGCTGTCAGACTGGGGATAAAAAACTTCAATCCCTTAATTTCCGTACTCTACTGGTTTCGAACAACACGTTAACAATAGTTAGGGTTAACATCACCGTTATTCAGGAATTAGTCACTTTCTGCTGGAGGTAAAAAGTGACTACTGAACAAACACAGGAGTGTCCAGAGGCCCGAGGACATGACTTGTTTGGCTCGTCCTTTAGTGCGTGACTTGCAGGTGTAATGGGGTCCACGTTGTTTAAGGTGTGTACGGGATACAGGAACACATGAGCAGTTGAGGTGAGGCACAGCGATGCGCGGTCGAAGAAATAGAGGATGAATTGCCCCAAATCAGCTTATAACCGGTTGGTGGGGATGTGAGCTTCTCTCACATCTTGTGGCCATTTCTTTGTATTTGTGCAATGTTCGAAACAGCCAAGAATAAAATAAAATAATAATAATGATAATAAATAAATAAAGAGCCTAAGTAATCAGACATAATCAAAACAGCTAGCTAGGCATGCTCGTTGTAAACGATTGAAGATGGACAGATACTGGACATAAAGTAAATTAAGTTGGGTCTGTTAGCCCTACCTTATGTCCCTTATAGGACACAGAGGCCACGCGAGGAAGTGAAACAGTGACTGACAACAAAGTAGCTACGGAGTCCTCCCGGTGTAAACACAATATGAAACAAATGCAAATGGAACCGATTCCAATTATCCCGAAGCTACAAAAACTATGTACACGTCACTTGACTTTATATGGGTTAGATTAATGAAGCCTTGCCGACATTAATGTGTGTTCAATGCTATCCAAATGTAATATAGCCACATAATTTATTCACGTATTAAAGGTGTGTAACAGTGTCTATAAATTAACAACACCTATCCAGTAAAATTACTTCATGCCTATAAGATATTTAAAATGTTTTTTAAACCTATATGGGTATAGCTTTTGGTAAACAACAATGTCCGACACTCATAAGATCTTGGTTTCGTCCTCACCAACTAAAAATTGCAACAGGCAGGTAGGCGGAACACAGGGATACCGCCCACATAGAAATAAACATGCACTCTGTGGACTAGTGACTTGGTAGAAATGGAAAATTATTACAAAATAACCTCTACAAGGTAATATCGACAGTTTTGTGGACCTTGGTGAGTGGGCATATTCATTTTCATTTTGAATTTTTTGAACTTGTGAAGTTCCAGAGCTTAATGTTCTATGAAAATGAAAGACCCTGCTGCATCCAACACAAACCAAAATCTGTGCAACTGAAATCTGTTATTTGCAGTGTTATAGTTTTTAGTATCTCATATTACTGTCTTTATTATTGTATAATGAGCAGTATTCATATCTATACTGTACTCTGTCCCAAGTTGCCTCTGTTGTATAAACTGTGATAAAATTCTTTCTACATCCATTGAATGATTAGTTAAAGAAGTGGTTCGCTCTTCTATGTTAGCATTGTGGTTATATATGGTGACATACTAAGACCTACAAGTGGAATTTTTTCTTATGATATTTTTCCTAAAATGGGGTTCTACTAACGCTCTATCTTTGGTCCTGAGTGTCTGAATGTTATATTGAGTGTTTTTCAACAACTTGTGGAGCAAGCCACCAAAGCTGCCAAATATGTCAATATGAAATTTGTGGCGCAGATACTAAAATCATCGTTAAAATCCGCATAAAATGTATAATAAAGTAAGCACAGAGAAGTGAATGGTAACCGAATAAATAACAATATTAATCCCACAATTTTTACGAGCTGCCCCTAAAACACAATTATTGCATTTCCGCTCATTTCTGTATGTGTAGGATTTTTTCCCACTTTTCAATCTAAAGAGCGTGCGCTCCGGTAATTATGGAAGTGAGATCAGACGAGGGTGCTGCAGTGGCCCCTGGTGAGGCGCCTCAAGCAGTTTGGCAGTTCATCCCGATGTTTTCCCATACCTGAAATCGCTGTCCTTAAATTCTGCTTCTGTGCTTCAGTCCACAAAAATGTAAACACAACGTTGAATAAAAGTGTTGAAAATTTGAGTCGTGACATTGAAATATTTACTAAAAAGGGGTTATTTTATGCATGAAAGGCCAGTTTTGTGTGATTTTTTATATAACTACCCCAATTTTTCCTTCCAACAAGCGCATTTCAACGTCAAACTGGCGGCCATAGATGCCTTGTGTTGTTGTAACACGTTGTTAATACCGCACTTTTCCTAGTGTCTACCTCATAAGTCTACATTATTGAAATTGGGCAGTGCCAATCAGTGCTTACATAATTTTTCATCGAAATGTTAAAATTGAATTGGAAAAATCGGTGTGATTTATATTGCCAGTAAGTTTTAAAATATTTATATATACTAACACAGGAAACTAATAGCAGTATAAATCCTTTTATGAGCACAACTGACTATTCCGCAGTTAAACTGACAATCGGCACTGAACGAAAAGTTATTAACATCGAGTTTGTTCAGTTGGATGTTACTTTATAATGTTTAACTTCCCAATGACTTTAAAAAAACTGATATCTGGGAATGATATCAAACTTGTCATAGGTGGTAAGAGAATACATGTATGATACGTTACTGCCAAATAACGTATATCAAAACCGTTTTTCAAAATGGCCGAACAACAATTTATAATGTAACAAATGGGGCATACTGAGACGACAGAAATAGGCGGTTTTCCATCTACTAAAACTAAAAAAGCTACTCGAATATATATTGAACACAATGCAATATACATCGTCACCATGCCGTGTGCTTCCGGCTGGATTCTGCCGGTGGCAAGGCGCAGTAAAATGGAATAGATAAAAGGCATTTATTTCACACCAGGCGTGCGTTTGGGCGTCACGGCTTATCAGTAAATAAGTTTCCACAAATAAATAAATAAATAAAAGTGAACTTGGATGCTATACTTTAATAGCAACGTTTTAAACATGCTCTCCCTATTTTATATTACTGGGCTGATGAATCAAGGCAAAGACAAAATTCATATAAAATAAAGCATGAATAAACGGCCATATTGCTGCTTTCACAGTATTATCTGTCATAGCCATAAGACTACAACAGCTATTGGTCTTGCAGAAATTATTCAGACTAGAGTACAAATGTTATCTACTTTGTACACTGAAGTAGGTGTGAGTAAAACAAAACAACGTATTATCACCGTCCAGAAAAAAACGAGTAAATGTTCAAACGATTGGCACTACGGCCATTACTTACTAGTTTGTCCAAAGGATGGAGCAGTGAAGATAAAGATGAAGACAAGGACGCAGGCCGGCGCCGTTAACCCTGGCATGGTGAAGAAGTGCTCTCTTTTCGATATGTCTACTTTCTCTCTGGTCTCTGGTGATTTTAGTCCTCCCAATAAACAGTATTATCTGATTCCTAACTTTAAGAAGACGGTGCCAACTAAGCGCTGACTCAGATTGAAATGCTCCCTCCGCCTAGATCTGGGAGCGTGCCACTGGTTCCGCACCGTTCCTCACACCACCTAGAACTGAAGTGAACGGCTGATATCTGAGTCCACCCGATTTTCTCTTTTGATTGTCGCAAACTTGACTGATGTTAAAAGGGTAAAGTTGGTTACTGCCTTTACATCACCAATGCAAACACAAAATGGACCTTTTTAGGTGCTATCTAGTCTACTTAGTTGAGCCTAACTGGAGAGGCTTCAAACCACGAACAAGGAAAGCTGTCTAAATATTCGCCTAGCCGACTTTCCGCTATTTCAGGCTACGTGTAGAACGTCTCCAGCTCAAGTGCGGAAGAGGCTGTCTGGGGTCGGATTCCTGCTCTTTATCGCCGAGGTAGGGCGAGTCGGGCCACGCATAACTGTAAAATTGATCTCATTTCGATGAGACACGTAGGCCTGAGAGGGTGCGAGTGCGGTTGGTTAACGGTTTACGACCCGCTGCTGGTTGCATACGTGATGAGCTGCAGTACGCTCTACGTGAAGTTTGGTGTCGTTAAATTGTGGCGCCAGTTCACACAGTGCTTGATTCCCGACCGAAGAGTGGTCGTAAATTCTGTTGGCCGCACTCTTAGCATCAGCTGCCAAACAATTGAAAGTATTAGAAAATGAGTGAGTTGATGAGAAAGTCGGTCTTTTTAAGTCTCATCAGGAAAAGCCGCCACGGACATACGAATTATATGCTCCAAAGCTTTGGATTGCAATGAGGCAAAAGACGTAAAATATTTTAAACCGCGTTGAAAAGTCATACTTTTTTTGAAAAAGTCTGCAGTATTTTAGAATTATCTGTAGGATTTCACAAACATATTTTTTTTTAGAAATACTTGTTAAATACTTTAATCGTTTATTGTGTTCTGTTTTAACAGAGCTGATATCATTTTGCTTATAGCATAGGCTCAATTGGATTTTCATTGAATAAACTTATTATTATTATCATTATTATTATTATTATTATT